TTTGCTCCTCTCCTTGAAAAGCAAAAGAAAAACTCCCTCGTTGGTACACAATCCCCCCCCACCCCCGCACCTCCTTTTCCATCAGCCTGTCAATCTCTTCCTCGGAGAAGCAGCCAATGCTGTGGCCATCCATCTCGCACCTCACAATTCCCTTTGTTATGTGGCACATGATCCACGTCAACAGGTTACAGAAGGGACTACCACCACTGAGAGAGCATCTTCCGGCTCTCATGGAGATTGTCCACCCACCGGCAATAAGCTAACGTCCAGTAGAAGCGCTCCTCCACCATTTTGGTCACCGCCTTGGAGACAGCTCTTTCATGAGGGTCAAGGTTTTTGTTTAAGTTCACGCTAAGTTTCTCTTCCAGAAAATCAATTATAAACTCTGTGCCAGAAGCTTTTTCACTATTATATTCAATCCAAGGCATTTTCCTTTGAGCAGTTTTCCACCAATATAACTCTGATAAGGTAAGTCAGCCATCCTTAAATAAGTTTCCATTTTCAAACAGAAAGGAGACTGAGGACACTATTGTTAGGCTCCCAAACTCATGCAAAAGAATAGCATCTTTGAAGGCAATCTCTTGCTGTTTCCTTATGACCAGGAGTTCATGGAGCAGATATGCAGCTAGGGCCAGCAAAGCTCCCCCAGTCAAGTAAAGGGTTTTCTTCCACCAAGAACAGGAGCCCAGCCCTGTCATGATCCCACCCCCACCTTAATCCCTGAGCCCTGCTGCCGCCCTGCATCTCCACGGGTCCAGAAGCCTCTGTCTGGGCCCAGAGCTGCAGGGCCAGAGTGTGCTGTGTGGGCTCGGCGCCTCCAGGTAACACCCTTCACGCACCCCAAACCCTAGCCTTACCAGAGCGAGGGCTGCTGCAGAGGAGGCTGACTGTGGAGGAGGCTGACCTCATGCCTTTCCGTAACTATTGTCATTTCACCAAGTGCATAGAGTTTCCAGAGACGTGTGGTTTAGGAAGTGGATACCACTCCTGCTTCTAAACGGACAGTAGATAATAATTGTTGTTGTTGTTATGTGCCGTTGAGTCATTTGCGACTCAGTGACCCTATGTACAACAGCCCTAAACCCTGCTCTATCCTGTGCCAATCGCATTGCCTGATACACGCATCCCGATTACCCCAGTCACTGAATCAATCCACCTCATAGAGGGTCTTCCCCTCCTGTACTGTCCCTCCACTCTACCAGGCATGATGTCCCTCTCCAAAGACCTGTCTTTCCTTACAACATGCCCAAAATATGTCAGAAGAAGCCCCAGAATCCTTGTGTAGCCTGGTTTAACCCTCTCCAGGACAAATCTGTTTGTTTTCTTGGCAGTCCATGGTACATTCAATACTCTTCTCCAGCACCACAGCTCAAAGGTATCAATTCTCCTTCTATCCTCCCTAGTCATTGTCCAACTCTCTGATGCATAACAAGCGATTGCAAAGACCATGGCCTGTATCAGGCACACCTTAGTCTCCAGAGAGACACCGTTGCTCTTGAGTACTTTAGAGAGGTCCCTAACAGCAGACTTTCCCATTGTGATACGTTTTTTTATTTCCTAACTGCTGGTGCCAAGAGTGTTGACTGTGGAGCTGAGCAAACTGAAGCTGTGAACAATCTCAATCTCTTTACCATCCATCCTGATGCTGCCAATTGGTCCAGTGGTGAGAATCTTTGTCTTCTTGACATTGAGCCTCAGGCCATACTGAAGGCTGCAGTCCTTACTTATATCTACAAAATACCTGCCGAACCCCTAAACTAGTGTTTGATTGAGCATCTATGCATCATCACAAGTCAAGCTTACTCCCATATTTGCTTTAAACTTACAGTAACCCTCAGTGGGGTTTCTAAGGCTACAGGTTGCAGTGAGAGGAGAGGGTCCACCTTCTCACCTAGAGAGCATAGTAGATTGGAAGAGCCTGAAACATGTAGCTTTTGGGTTAACAGCACAACTTGCTATTGACTATGTTACCAGAGCTTATTGTTGTTGTCAAGTTGGTTATGACCCATGGTGACTCTGTGAACAGAGAATCTGAACCCTGTCCTTTCCTGTGCCATCCTCATCATCTCTGACATGTTCGAGACCACTGTTACAGTCACTGTGTCAATCCATTGTATTGAGGGTACTTTTCTTTGTTAACTCTCTACCTTTCCAAGCACAATGTCCTTTTCTAAGAACTGACCCCTCCCAACAATACACCTAAAGTATGTTAAAGTTCCACTACCTTTGCCCCTAGGAAGTATCCTGGCTCCACCCTTCCCAAGAAATATTAGTCTTTTGGGCACTTGGCGGGATATCTGATTGCCAAGTGGTAAGAAGTTGCAATCCTGAAAGCACACGGTTCAAATCCACCAGCTGCTCCGTGGAAAAAGGCTGGGTAATCTTCTCCTCTGCAATTTATTGCTTCTGATAACCCAGTGGAGGGTTAGCTGTGGGTTGGTTCTGACTCAGTGACACACAACAACAATCACAGCGATGAGGAGCTGCATAGTCAACTTGATGGCAAGTAGTTTCAATCTATCCACTGCTCCATTGGAGAATGATGGACAGTCTCTTGTGTGATTAACTGACTCTGTAAACCCACTAGAGGGTCAGCTATGAGTTGGATCCAATTCAACGGCACCTATCAAGAACAGGAAGGAGCTCCTTACATGGTTATGGTGTATTTTCAAGTCAGAACTGACTCATTGCTGACCCTCTGGTGGGTCTGGATGCCCGTCCTTCTCCTGAAGAGCAGCTGGTGGATTTGCAGCATAATTTCTTACCTCTAGGCCACCAGAACCTACCTAAATTAACACCATAAAATTAACCATCGTGGAGGGTTGGGTATAGGGTGTACTACAATTGGCCAAGAATCCCCTTAGGGTAAGGGTCCTGCGTTGAGGGGTGTATTATAATTTGACAAGAAGCTCCTTGAAAATGAGGGTCCTGGGCTTGCTTCAACCTCCCACAGTGCCTGATATGGTGAGTTCTCAATAGTGAGTGATGACCTGACACACAGGACTCTTTCCTCTAAGTTTACACTCTACTGGGGTTCCTGAGGCCCTACCACATTTTTGTCATGAGAATTTAGAAAATGCAAGCTTGAGTCTTGTCTCATGATCTACTGCTTGGTTGATGATTTCTCAGACAAAGATTGTAAAAGAATAATGCTTCAAAGTTTCTCTTTTCCTTTCATTCTATTCTAGTTCCTTCAGGGGTCTAAAAGTGGCAATATCTGGCAATCATTTCTTCAGATCACCCAGAATAAGCCAGGTATGTCTGTTGTGCGTTATTCAGCCAGAATTCCCCCAATTCAAGCTGATCTCCAACATCCACTCCTGCTTTTTGGCTTACAACATGCCTGTTTCTGTTTGGATGCCAACTTCCAATACTCCTTTAAAAATTTCATTTTTTAAATACTAGTTTACATACAAAGCTCATAAAATTCACATATACTCTTTTGCATATCATTCTTCCCGATGGTCCCCTCCTTGTTAGATTCTGGGTTGGACGTGACTCAGACCCAGTTGGGGAGAGATCCACATTTGGCCACAGTGATTGGTGCAGTGATGGACTTGTGGGCTAATGGGTCATGAAAGCCAGGTCATGTAGACTTTGTCAGAGAAATCAGAAGCACAGTATCAGTATTATCTCTCTTCTTTGTTCTACTAAGTTGTTGTTGTTGTGTACCATTAAGTCAGAGCCAAACTATAGCTGATCCTCCAGGGAGGAAGAATCAAATCTCATGGCAGGAGATTGCCCATCTTTCTCTCATGCAGCAGCTGATTGATTTGAACCATCTGCCCTTAGGTTGGCAGTGCAACTATTTGCCACTAAGCCACCAGAATTCACTGCTAAGATACTAGGTTGCCATTTAAAGATACCAGTGGTCATTATGGTCACCACTTGGAGTCCTTTCTTGATATCTCCTAAGCCTAAGATTCAGGTGAGGCTTCTAGTCATCATACCACCCCTATTTTTTCTGTTATGCACATCTACAAACATTCTTTTTCTACCTTTTCCCAATTTTAGTTGTATTGCTGTCATGTGCAATGGGAAGAATGTTTACCACTACAAGAACATTAAGGCCAACCCCCAACCAAGTCTCGTCTGTCTATCTGGTTTCATCCTGCTTTCTCTCTTTCTACTTTCCATCTCAGTCAGAACTGAACATTTTGCTTTTGTGTCAAGTTAACCTTTCTGCTGCTAGCACATTCTCACACAACTTCCTTTGGTTAAAGAGTAAGCCTCTGTTTTATTAAATGTTAAAAGTGAGCCAGAAGAGCATGTAGGGAAGAAGGCAGAGCAGGAGACATAATCTGAGGATGCTTGGCTCCAAGAAATTTGAGACCTGGGAGCGCAGTTGTTTCTTTACATAAACGTCATTCATTTCCTCAGCTTTAAATGGCCTTCCTTCCATCTCAGTCACATTCTTGATCCAGAGGTCATATTTAGCTAACAAAGTATATATCCCTGGAATGTCCTTATGTCCACAGCTCCTTCCCCAGCTGATGATACCTACTTGGTACCACCTCTTGTCAGGCCCTGAGGTGCACATTAAAGGTCCTCCACTGTCACCCTGTAGGCAGAGAACAGAGTTCAGTTAGGAAGTCACATTCTGAGCTTTCTATTTAAGGCAGGGAATAATATTTATCAAAGGAAAATAGTACATGGAATTCTACTCCAGGATGTCAAAGAACATTGTGTAATTATGGATCAATCTCCACTCCTTATCCTAGCCAATCCACATCACTATCCCAATCAACCACATCCTTACTTCAGATAGTAATCACCCCAACCCAATCAATTCCCACCGTGTTTTAGCAAACCCCACCCCATCTATTCCTAGAAATCTCCACTGTCACCCCAGTTAATTTCCACCCTCATCCTAGTCAATCATCACCTTATCTCAGGCAATCTTACCCCAATCATTCCCCTATCCCATCCATCTCCATACTTATTCTGGCCAAGCCCCATCCCCATTTAGACTCTCCAAAAGAAGCCCATTTATGTCTGGTTGCCTCCAGTAGTTGTGAGCATACATAATTAGAGTGTGAGATCATCTGAGATGAAAATATGTGGACCTACAACATTAATAGAGTTACCTATTTCTACAGAGAGTTTGTACTAAGTTCCTGCCAGGTACGACATACATATATGATTCCCTTTTATCCATTTTAATATAAGAAAAACAGGCTCAAGGAAGAGAAAAAGCTTGCTCAGTCTATATGGTAGCTGGAGACCAGAAATAGAATCCAGGATTTTTCAATGTAAAAGTTCCATGCTCTTTATATCTATTTTTCCCTGTGAATTATCCAAGGAATTGAATAGCTACAATCTTGCTAGGGGAATTTCTTCAGTGGATGTATAATATCCTTTTCCACCATCAGCACACAACAACAACAAAAACAGAATGAATGGATCTCTGGTGACCTAGTGTTAAGAAAACTGCATTGCAATCTCAAAGGCACACAGTTTAAATCTATCAGCTGTTCCACAGTAGAAATATGAGCAATTTCCTTCCATAGGATGTACTGCCTCTGAAAACTCTCTAAGAGTCAGATATAAGTCAGTTCCAACTTGACAGCACACAACAACAAGAATGAATGGGGTCTTATAATAAACTCTCACAGAGGAGGAAGGTTAGCATTGCTTGCATAGGATATGCACAATGTTAGGTCCTTGACTTACATTTTCTCATTTGAACCCACCACATCTCAACTATATGAGGTAAGTATTTTGATTCATATCCTGTAATTATAAAATTTAAGGTCTAAAAGGCTTAAGGTCATTCTCATTTAATAAATCTTTACTGAGTTAAAACCAGTTGTCAGGATTTTCTTTTCTAAAAGAAAATTTTACATGTACACTTAAATGCATAATCCATTTGGGATAAATCTTATGGTCTAGTTAAAAACCAAAAAACTAAAGAGAAGTTAAAAAATATATAACCTCAGAAACCAAAATAATTGTTAGTGAGTCAATTCCAACTCATAGTGACTCTATAAGAAAGGGAAGAATTACTCCATGGGATTTCTAATCTTTAGATACAGAATACTACATCTTTTTTCCTCACAGAGTAGTACGTGGGTTTGAACGTCTGAACTTTTGATTAGCAGCCAATTGTTTTAAGCACTGAGTTACCAAGTTTCCTTCATAATTTGTTTAACCTACTGCCATGGAGTTGATTGTTCCTTGTGGTGACCCTCCATTAATTTTAGAGGCTATATGTCTTTGGGGGGGATCCAAACCACTTACTTTTAGGTAAGCAACACTCATTTAATGCCCTACAACAACAGGGTGCTAGTTGTCTAAATCCACTACCATCTAGTTTATTCTGGCACATAGTGACCTTCCATTGGGTTTTCAAGGTTGCAAATTATTAATAGAGGAGACTTCCCACCTCTCTTGTGAGGAACAACAAACTTTTGGGTCACAGCTCAATACACAAGGATTGAGGCTCTTTGGCTTTTAGTTGGGGAAATAAAAGCAAAACAGAAAAAACAAAAACTCTCAAAAATCCTTAAACTTACTGTTGTTCAGTCAATTCCAACTCAAAGCAAGTTTCCATTGAGCTTCCAAGGCTGTAAATCTTAATGGAAGGCAACTGCTCAACTTTCTTTTCCATTAATGCTGGTGGATTTAGTCTTTCAGGAAGGAGATCAAAGTATTTTGTTTGAATTAAAATTGGGAAATTTACAAGCTAAGTGTGGT